AGAAAGAAAGAAAGAAAGAAAGAAAGAAAGAAAGAAAGAAAGAAAGAAAGAAAGAAAGAAAGAAAGAAATTCTTAGGCCACGCTAGGATGGGAGTCTATCGTTATCACCCCTGATTGGGGCACCTTGCTATTATAACTATCCTAAACAGTGTTTCCTCATCTCAGTGGTCCACGATGACAAGGGTGATGGGAAGGAATTTTAAAAGCCCATGTTCTAGGAACTTGATCTCCATCTGCAATAAAATTTCTGTAAGAGTAGCTTCTTTATCACATTGTCACCATTACAGATTCCTGATCAAGTTCAATAACTATTAAAAAATAATAAAATGCTAATGGACTTATTTCAGAACAAGTAAGACTATAACCACATAAAAGCCCAGCTTTTCCTTTGTTCTAGCAGGCAAAGTTAAGTCGTTCTCTGTTGAATCTATTATAGCCTTTGGCTTGCTCTTAGCCTGAGCTTTTTAATAACTAGGTTTAGTACAAAAAGAAGCTGTGCTGGATTGCAAAGTGTTACTCAAAATGTTGCCACCTGCAATTATAACTTCCACCAAATAATCAAAAAAGGTTAGCAAATTGGCAGAAAAATGAAAACAATTCCTCGAAAACAGAGAAGTAGTAAAGCAGACTGGATGGATAGTTGCGTTTCTTCTGTAGCTCTGAAGCGCACATTCATCTAGCTATGTATTTACATATAGTGCTCATCACTGCAGCACCAGAGCAGCTAGAAAGGAAATCAGTTTAGCCTCTGTTGCAATCACATTTCCCTCAATTTTCATCTTTACTTGAAACTATTAAGAAAATCCCAAGCAACTCATCTTTGGAGCTATTTGCAAGTAATGTAGTTCTCAGATTTGGTCCACATCATTCTTATTCCCACTCTAAATTCATATTAAATGCAATACCATTCAAACCTGACAATGAAAAAAGTGTCCTATACTTCTCACCAGGAATTAGGTAGCATTTCCTCACTTATATCTTTTTTGATGGGGAAGAAACACTACAGGAAGAAGAAAGTAAGCTAACACAGAGCCAGGAAAGCTCTCTCGTGGTTTAAGCACAGGTACAACGTTGAGAATGCAGGTCACATCTCTGCTGAAATAGCCAATATCTTCCTCAAATGGCAAACAGGTTACCTAAAACTAAATGGAACTGAATCAGCCCAAGTCCTGGTGCTATCACCATTTTACCCATTTGCCATCCTAGTAAAAAAAAGTAAGGGAAGAAGGCAACAAGGTAACCAGTGGTCTGATAGGTGCACATTTTCTGCCTCTGGCTGTAAGGAGAAACGCCTCAATCCATGGAAAAACTACATAGGAATCTCATGTTTTATCCCCATTCCTAATATCTGTGTGCAAGCTTTTAAAGCCAGAAACTCCAATACTTCAAGTAATTCAGTATCCCCTACAATGATGACCTGGTAGCGCTGTCACTCTGGAGAGCATCACATTATGATGGTTTAGTGTCTATGTAGCATCAAGGCATTTACATTGAGCCTTGGCTCTCAGAACATTAACAGGTCAAATTTTTATTCTTTTCTAAATAAAGCTATATCTCAAGGCTCTGTTCTGATGCCCATTCTCTTTGGCAAAGGACAGATTTGCTCCAAATCCTATCAGCAAGAGCTCACTTGTTTCTTCTCACACCATTCTTCAGGTAATATGTAGAGTACCGGGCTCATGACAAACTTCTCGCTTTCGAAAAAGAAAATTAAACTGCAGTAGTATAAAGCCAACGTGCCCTGACAAAACTGGGTTCAGTGCAGTGAAATATATCCTGCTGACAGCTGTCCCTCAGAGTTGAAAGCTGAAACTCAATCCTTAGACTGGCAAGTCTCTCAATGTACACACTCCACTGTATGTCCAAGCTATTGGAAACAGAGCTTGATTCTAATACCTTAACCTCATTCCTGTCATGCAGTATCCTATAATCTAGCTAAGATCACTGACCTCACTCACCAGTCATCCTGGGCATCAGTTATTGACTGCTCACAAAAGAACATCAGGCTTACTCTTCCTGAACTCTTAGGCTCAGAAACAGTAAGCTAACATGCAGGCTCGATCCTACTCAATCATCTGAAGAAAGGGAAAAGAAAACACATAATATAGAAAGGGAAAGAAAGAATAATGTGAAAAGTGATAAAAAGCAACAGTCATTTTCACAAATGCTGTTAGCTTTCCGGTTTCACAACTATTAAGGCATTGGGCAAACGAAAACTCGTAGTCACTACTGTAGACTGCCACTCACTGCAGTAGCTATTCCTTTTATATTGAGGTTTGTTAGGTCTTAAAGGGGTTAAAAAAAAAAAAAAAACCCTTTAATATTTTTGTTCCTGTGTGTGTGTCCGTGTCTCTGTGTGTGTGTGGTCTTTGGGTACAGAGTTCCGTATAATAAGACTATTTGTATTCATACTGGCAGAGTAAACACTACATGTTCATGCCCAGGCAGCTCTGTGCTTGTAATTTCAGCAAGAACAGAGCTCTGTCCCTCTGGGACTTCACTATTCCCCCAGTCTCCATTCACTCAAACATAGAATGAGAACAGAAAGAAAGCAGAAGAAAGATCATGGCAAGAGGTTTCACACAGCATTGCAGCTAGCTTTCACATGGCCAAAGAACAAAACAAAACAAAAAAAAAACCTCGTCGTATGTTTTAATTACATTAGTTAAAACTATTTTACTCTCAGCCTCATGTTCACAAGGCCGCTTTCTATTCCTCAACAGCTATTAAATGAATCAAAATTACAGACTAGTACCACAAAGCTTTTTTTTTTTTTCCTGCTGAGGGGATTGATTGCAAGCAGAAGCCATACAGTAGGTACAAAGTGCTGCTTCAATTTTGTGTGGTGATGAATATGTGTATTCTCTTGGCAACCCCATCATTGTGCCATTTGTTGAGGCACCAGGTTGGACCAACTCCTACAACTCTAAGCCTCTTCCCACGGTTCAGAGCTTGTCTCCACCCTAATGCTTCAGCATCTACTCCCGCAGACTATGTTGTGGTATACAAAAGTTATATACCTTGTTTGTTTTAGAGACAAGGTTTCTCTGTGTATCTCTGGTTGTCCTCCTGAAACTCACTCTGTAGACCAGGCTGGCCTCAAACTCACAGATATTCACCTGCCTCTGCCTCCCTGAGTGCTGGGATTAAAGGCATGTGCCACCACTGCCTGGCTAGAACAAATATTTTTGAAAAGAATACTGGATCTGGGCTTGGTGGCACACGCTTTTAATTACAGCAGAGACAACAGAGTTCAAAGCCATAGAACATAGTGAGTTCTAAGATAGCCAGAGCAGGAAATAGAGATCCTATTTCAAAACGAAGAACCAACCAAACAAACAAACAAAACAAAAAAAACAAAAAAATTACTGATTTTTGGTTTTTCAAGACAAGGTTTCTCTGTGTAACCCTGTCTATTCTGGAACTTGCTCTGTAGACCAGACTGGTCTTAAACTCAAAGATCCATCTGTCTCTGTCTCCCATGTGCCACTGAAGCCTGGCTCAGAATAAAGGTTATTTAAGGAATGAGTTTAGTTAGAGGTTAATAAAAACACCTGAATTTTTAGGTATGCTAATATTTCTATCATTGTATCTTAGCATAATCAAAATCTTAAGGATCTTACTGTATGGAGAAGAATATGAGGGGAAACAGGAGAATATATCTTATGTCATTATTAATATGGTACTACATGAGAAAAGTTATTAATCCTAGAAAATGCTTTCTGATTTTTATGTTTCTTTGTTTCAAGACAGGGACACATACAGCCCAGGTTAACCTTGAACTTCTAGTTTTCCTGCATCAGCTTCCAAAGGCTGGTATGCGACATAACACATGACTAGAAAATGTGGTTATTTTTTAAATTTTTATTATCTTAAGACTAATAATTTATTATAGTTTTCATTTAAAACATTTTAAAATATATTTTGATTATATCCCCTCCCCTAAGTCTTTCTAGATCCTTTCCCCATCCCTTCCCATCCAAAATTTTTAATGACTATTCAAATCAGGCAGGTCTGGTGGCATACTTCTCTAATCTCAGCACTCTCAAGGCAGATGCAGGAGGGTCTTTGTGAGTTTACAACCAGTCTGGTATAGATAGTGAGTTCCAGGCCACCCAGGCTTATGTAGTGAGTGAGATTTCAAAACAAACAAACAAACAAACGAATGAATAAATACATGAGTTTTGTGTTTCTTTTAAAACTGTTGGCTCTCTCACCAAGTCCTTTAGGAAGAATTTCTTTATCACACTCACAATATCACTAAATCCAATGAATCAAGTGTAAAAAAAGATACCTAAAAATCTCAAAATTCCAAATTAATAAAAGATAATAATCTATTCTCATGTATCTTCAATTATGAACTCACTAATCTTGCTCCACTTAAAATCTGACCTTCATTTCTATTTTGAAGCAAATCCTAGACATTAGACCTTTGATTTTGTAAAGACATTGTATTAGCATGCATGCCCCCCAGAAAATAACACTCCTTTTCAAAAAGCAAAATTGTAATACCATTATTATACCTAAAAAATTCACAGTAATTTCTTGGTTTGGTCCATTCTCTCTCTGAGGAAATTGACCAAGAATGCTTTCCTGACTCTGCCACTTGAGTAGCTCCTACTGTGTAATAATAACTCTCATGAACGGCTGGTACAGAGAGATTGAAAGGGAGAAGGGTATAACTACTTGCCTCATTTCCTCCTGGAAGCCTGTTCATATGGACCAACTGGCCTTGATCATCCAACACCAGCTCAGTGTATGTCAGCATGTCAGAAGGTAGAGGGGGTGAGGGAAGGAATGCTTGAGTGGACATAGACTCCCAGAGTTTGATGAGCGACTAATGGAAGAAAGAAGATTGACTTATCAGTGGCATTTCAACATGAATAAAAATCACAGTCAAACTCAGTCACTCTGACTCTGCTTTCTTTTCCAAGAGCTCTATGGAAAGTATGAGCCTTAGACCAAATGCTCAGCAAACACACTTGTGGCCAATTTTACACCATTTTCAGTATGTCAAAAGTCAGGTACTTCCCCCAATACAGTCAAACTACTGAAGGACCTTGAAATAGCACTGGAGCATTAACACATACAATAACACCAACCCAGCAAGAATAAAATAAAAAACTCAAATAAAAGGCATCAGCCAGGTTTGGTGCTCATGTCTCTAATCTCTGTCTCATTACTTGTAGGCTGAGGCAGGTTTATCTCTAAAACAAATCCAAGAAAGCCAGGGAAGATCCCATAACTACTTTTCACAGCAATAGATCCACATATGAGAATTAGTTAAGATGTGGATGACTATTTATAAGTATAGCTCAATTAAATTTCAAATTTGAGAATACAGACATACCCATGCATTTACAAAAACATTCATGATTACCGTTTCCTATTTCTTATGTAAATAAATTAACTTCTTTATGAAGTTCTGTCCACGCTTGTCTTAAACACCTAAAGCCCAAATGACACACACTTATGTGTCCTAGCTGTGCCCCTTGTCAATTATAAGTACTGACACTGAGAATCAGAATCACACACAGTTGTCAGGGTCATGACACCATAAAATGGAGGTAATGAGTGAAGGTCTGTGTTCTGAGATAGGATGGTTTAAGTAAATAGTTACCTAAAAGTAACTTGCTTTTGTGAATACTACAGGAATCACAGACTACTAAATAAGTCCACAGATAAATATTACATTAAGATTCAAATATGATAATATTGATAGTGCTGATATTGATAGAGACTTGAGAAGACCTACAACAAAGATATTTTTAAAAGAAATCCCGTATCCTCTGATGCTCTATTCTTTATCTGTTGTATTCTCTGCTTGTGACATATACCCCCCTACTTTTGATGGGAAATCTGCAGTATAGAGAGGGTTCACCATCATAAAGTCAAGGAATTTTTCATATAGGGGAAGAGTTTCATAATGTCACTTTTTTCATGCTAGGTTTTTATTTAATAATAGTAAATCTACAGAAGAAGTTATACCTACAACTATATACAGTGGTGCTGTCTTCTTGTCTGTGCTACCTATAATGACTCTCATCTTGGCTTAGGTTAAGGGATTATCTTGGAAAGTAAGAAAATGAAACCTCGTTCCACTCCTCTTTTTAATATTTCTAATTCGAACACAGACTTAATACATGTGTAACTCCTCACATAGGTCCTTGTAAACATAATGTGGCAAGGGTTCACTTGAGACGTCTCTTCTCACCATTCCTCATGAAGCACCTGAGTTAGAAGACACTAAGTCATTAATGAGACGAAATTAGAATAGTGTCAAGATACTTCCAGCCTGTGAGTGCCCTTCTCTAGGAAAAGTTACACATGATGGAAACTCAAAGAAGCCTCAAACTCTCGCCTGTTAGCCACTTTTACCTGTCGAAACATTTCTGGGATATCATATATATACGTTGTTCCTAAGGACTGCGCCTGAAATCTCTTTGACTGAAGAAGGTCTTTGGTCACATATGGAGTATTGATTAACATTCCGTGCAGTGGTCCCTGCTTGTCTCCATATGCCTGAAACATGATCTGTGGGGAAAAAAACAGAATGCACAGACAGTTAAGCGATAAATAGAAAATAAAATAGTTGCCTATAGCATTGTTTTCCACAATGTTATTTCTTAAAAAACAGATGGGGGTGGGGAGAAGTGCTTAATGGCGGAGACTTGCCTCATGTCACTGGGTATTTGGTATTGTCCCTTCTCTGCCACTTAACCAACTCTAAAATAGTGATGTGCTATTTATACTAGACTGTTCTTAGTTTGGAATTAGGTGACATCAACAAAAACGTCCAGTGTAAATTTCCCATCTCAGAGACAGAGTGATGGCACTTGCCTTCTAAACTGACTTGAATCTTGGATACTAAAAAATGAAGCATGCCAACTAACTAAACAAAACAGTTCTAGTATTTAAGTCGAGGAGCAGCTATATACTAGAGAAAATTCTTGTTCTTGGGCCAGATCAAGGTTCTACCACTTGATCATGCATTAGTCCCTTGATTAGAAGGTTCTTTGTAGTATTATTAGCCACGCAAAGGCTCCAAATACTTTTGTCAGAGTAAGTATATTTCATTCACTCACCTAATTAATTCTTGTTAGCTCATAAGACACAGCCTATGGTAAAATCACTATATTTTATTAAATTACATATAAACACACACACAAGTATGTATGTATGTACGTATGTATATATACATATGTATTTCTCTCTAGTATACTGCCTCTAACTAGTGAATTCCTGCAATTGCTGGATTATCACATAATGAAACCACCACACCAGTTTTTAATCATTTTTTAACTCAAATATTTCTAGAAGAGTACTTCATACTCCATATATTTAGCTAGTTTTATTTGCTCATGAATATTTATAAGGGATGCCATTATTTCAATTCAATTAATATTTATTGAGTGCTCAGAGGTTGTATAACACTAAACTAGGCACTTTATGTATGAACACATAAAATATAGATTCCCAACACACTGAATACAAATGGAGATTGGAATGAAAAGGTATATATATATATTCCCATCTGTTTGGACCTAAAATATAAGCACAAGTGTACCATTAATGAAAAGATCCACGGATTTGATATATATGCATAGAATGGAATTAAATACTAACCTAAACCTGAAGGTCATCCATCTAAGTGACTCCTTAGCATCTGAGCTCAGAGGAATAAGAGTGCTCTGGTGACTTGTCAATTAGGTCTTATTCTGGGCAAACATATCCTAGGCTGTTTAAAGTCCCCAGAGTGGAACCTCCAGTTCTCTTCTAAAAGACCAAGGGGGAAAGTTACCAGGTGGGAGACAGCAGCAGCAGTAACACCTTGGGAGTTAAAAGAACTAGTCATATTTAAAAAAAAAAAAAATACAGATTTCAGGTGTTTTGGCAAGAGTACAGTATGAGAAAACTGGATTTGGGACAAAGACTGAATCAAAGTAAGAAAAAGAAATAAAAGCAGCAGGTTCAAGACTGTGAGACAACTCAGCCAGTAAACTACCTGCCACCAAGCCTGACAACCTGAGTTTAATGCTATGCCTAGGACTGAACCTGATTCCTGCAAGCTGTTCTGATCTTCCCCCCCTCCCGTTTCTCTCTCCACACAAACACACACACACACACACACACACACACACACACACACACCACACACCTGGTAAAATTAAAAACATCAGTAGTTTTGAACTACTGTATTTCCTGTTAAGAGAGGCAAAGCTGTAAGTACAGGGTTTAAAACTCAATTCTGCAAGCTCTGGGATGAAGTTAGAATAGCCATTTAAAGCAATATAACTATGCAGTAAGGAAAAGGACTGAAGAAAGCTGCATGCGTTTATACACTGTTGCTGGAATTTAAAATGGTAACCATTTAGTGGCTTGTAAGTCTCTTATAATAGTAAAAAATAGTTACTACAAACTAGCAATTATAGACTCCTATGCATTTAATCAGGAAAAATAAAAATTTACCTACATAAAGATTTGCAAATAGTAGCTGGGCATAGTGGCACATGCCTTTAACCTCAGCACTTGGAAGGCAGAGACAGAAGGATCTTTTTAAATTTTAAGGCCAGTCTGGTCTACATAGTAAGTTCCAGGACAGCCAGAAGGACATAGTAAGACTATGTCTCAAATAAAACAAAACCAAAAGACAAAGATTTACAAATGAATGCACATTACAGATTTATTCTTTAACAACTCAAATTTGGAAATAAAACTTCAGTAATTGAATAGATATAAACATTTTGGTAAATCTAAAAAAATGGAATACTACTCAATAATGAAAAAGAGTATACTCATAGTCCTTGCAACACAGATGAACCACCAAAACATTATGTTAAACAAAACAAGTAGGATAAAGAATAGTATGAATTGTCTGATGTAATTTACACGCAACCAAAAGACACACAAAACTATATACAGCAACAGAAAGCAGATCTCAGTGGTTGCCTAAGGCTGCAATTGGGTTCTGTCTTTCACTGAAAAGAAGAGAAACTTTGTGGGGTGACAAGAAATTCTCTATAATGACTCTGATGACAGATATCATGTACAACTGTCAGACTTAATCAAAGCAAATGCAGCAAAAGAAACCATTTTGGTACATGTAAACTATATAAACTATATAAAAATGTAAACTCAATAAAGGTGACTTTAAACTGTTCACTTTACTTCCCTCACTGGAAGTCAATTTATTTAAGTAACAAACTACCCAAACCTTTTCTTCCTACTTAGGACTGCCTGAAATTGTTCATTTCAGCCAACAGGACAAAGACCATACAAGAAACATGAAACTCAAGCAAGTTAACTTTTCTTCTCATTGGCAATAAACAATGTGTTAGGGCAAGAGTTTGGTAGTAATGGACCCTAAATGAAGCCCCAAATGACCATTTACGTTAGCTCCATTTTCTCCTATGATAAACATAGTAATTAAAAGTTGGTAGAGGTCATGTTTTACCAGTTTGAAAACATATACAGGTTTTATTTATACCTCCTATTGAAGGCTGCAGCAGGGCTTCTCATAGAGAACCATCACTGACCTACACAGTGGGCACCCTTAGAGCCCTGAATGTTTTTATTTTATAATGTCTCTTATCATATCATGGAAGCATCAATTACTCATCTATCTTTTCCCATTATAATATACATTTCTTAACGAGGAACTGCTTTGTAGCCATAGTTTCTGACACACTATACGTAGTCAGTAAATATTAAATAAGTAAATGAACAAATGATAAACATGGTTCCATATTATATCAATTTCTAAAGGAAGAGGAAATGAAGTTCAGTAATAAGTACCAAGTACGCACTGGTGCACAGAAACTGGCTAGAGGCTGCTGTGGTCAGTTCCTGCCTCTATCACTGCTTTCAACCTAGCTTCCATGCCACAGGAAGGCTCAGCAACCTCCAGGGCTTTTAAATATGCTGGCCCCCTTCAGGTCGAGGGCAGCTTATTCACTCTTACAGATGCCTATTAAGTGTTTATTTTGTGCCAGGCACAATACTAAATCTCTGCTGAAGGCACCTGTGCCTTTCATGCGCCTGTTTCACCACCATCTAGCATCAGGGAAATCTAAGAGCTTTCTAATAAAGAGAAATGGGAAAAAAGAAGAAGAAACCTGTGAAGAAAAAACATTTATCAGAAACATTAAAATCTCAAGTGCCTTCTTATTTTACAGAAGAATAGGCCTGCCTTGAAGCCATTGTAGAAGTTAATTAAAAGCATCCCTAACCATGGAAAGTCCTGACTGAAAATGTCCTTAAGGTTGTCCTGAAAAACATCACATGCAGCAAAATTATTGAGCACTCTTTCCTGCTCACCCCTGTGCTCTGCGCATGCTGTTCTAACTGCTTTCTTCTTAAAGGATAGACTTCTTTGGTGATCTAACTGAGAATCAAAAAACAAAATGAAAGGTCACTAAGAAAACTGCCTAAACTAGGATTTTAAAAAATTCATCTCCAAAGCAGAGACAAAAATGTCTTTTTCTGCCTCCATTCCTAGATAAAAACAAGAGCCACATAATTGCTTCCCAGAACCAAATGCATTGAACAGTCTAAAACCCTTGTATTACCCTTGTATTCTGGTACAAGTACACACTTTATTAGGAGTACATTCTTCAAGTATACACTGAAGCCCTAAAATAACATACTATACCTCTGAAGATGTGTGCATACCACAGAAAATGGTCAAAATCTTTAGAAACTAAGGTGGCAAGCCAATTATAATAGGATGCTCTATTATCATAGAATAAACATGCTTATTCATTTTTCATTTCTGCATTCCCAAAATTTTTCCCTGGAAAATGGGTTATGGCTTCTTACTTTGCTCATGTATAGGCATACAGCACTCTAAACTCAGTGAAAGAAAGTGAGCATGAGTGAATGAAATGTACAAGTATGAAGAAGACACTGCTTGGCTCTCTCTGTTCCTGATATGATTCTATGGTGAAATTTCCCCTTTCGAAAGACAGAAGTTGATAAATTCCAGACTGTCCCCTTTCCTCATCTGCCAGTGGAAGGCTGCACTAGGAGCAGGAAAACAAATCAGATCAGGAAATCTAGATTACTTAGCAAAAGTGCCCCTGGAAACCATAAACATCTGAATTGCATAATTATCTGTGGAGTTGGTTCACCTGGCCTGTTAAAGCGTGTCAATATTTGACAAAAGGTTATGGTTTTATAACATGCGTGATCAAGAGGCACAAAGCCGTTTTCAAAGGTAAAAAACAAACCGATGGGATTTGAGGGTTATTATGTGTTGGATCAAATAAAACCTTGGAGGAGTCTGCTTGACTACTGTACCTGTGCTGTCCTGGAGTCAGTCACTTCCTTATACAGGCTGATGTCCAAGTAATAGCCAGACTCATTTGTCAGGAAGAGGCGGATGGGAATTGCTTTTCCAGTTGTTGTCAGGCGAATGTTGATTTTCAGTTCTGCCTGGAGGACGCGCAATTTCCACAGCCGACTTCCATAGCGCATTACCATGCTCCGCACAGATTCTTCAATCTGACACAGTACAATACCAAGTGTAAAACCAAAATACTTTGCAACTAAAACTTGTTCTAAGTTTGCACATCTTTGCTAAAGAATATTGGAAAAAGATACTGGTTTATGGAGATAGGTACCACACTTACAAAGAGAACTCATGTGGTTTATTCTCCCCATCCTTCTTAGTTTTTATAGTCAATCTGACACAATCCAGAGTCACCTGCAAAGAAGGACCTCAATGGAAGGATTGCCTTGGTTGGACTGTCTTGTTAGATTAAGAAGGGTCAGGACATTGTAGGCAGCACTATTCCTAGGTGGGTGGGTCGAGCTGTATAAAAAGAAAGCTAATTGAGTATGAGCTAGTAGGGAAGCCAATAAGCAGTCTTCCTCTATGGTGTCTACTCTAGGTTTCTACCTTGAGTTCCTGTACTGACTTTCTTCAATTATAAACTGTGATCTGGAAGTAGAACCTGAAATAAATCCTTTCCTTCCCTGCATTGCTTTTGGTTGTAGGTGTTTTGTTTGTTTGTTTGTTTATCATAGCAGCAGAAAGAAACTAGGACACCCCCCAACTTACTATTATTTGGAACAAGTTAGAAGCAATTTCATGCTGGTTTGGTATTTGAGTGGTTTTCTTTGACTCACAACCCCGAAATCTGTACAACTCCTTTCCCTTTCCCAATTATATTCATACTCTATATCAAAGATCTGCAATATCTAAAATTAAAAGCCAGGGGATTTAAGAGAAAGCCCCAAATAAGAATAAAATCCCTGGTTAAATAGCTATTAAGTAGCATTTCTATGCATGGTAACTATGTTTCATTGCACTTACAGAACCTTAAATCAACACAGCAATTACCACCATGAGCTTTTTTCTACAAAATTTTATTAAACTTGATAATGTATGTCTCTTAGTAAATTGCACAAATTAAAGAAAGGCAATTTGTAGGCTGTGCCAGAATGTTCCCTCTAAACACTAGCGATCTCAACTTTGGTCACTGCCAAGTCCAACTGGGATTTACGGAGATGAGATATTCCCTCATTTCCCAGAAGCTTTGTATTGAGACAGCTAGGTATTCTTGGTTTTAGAGTTAGAAAACTTATTTTTACTGGATATCCCTAGATGTGACTTTATAGGTTGGCAAGATGTCTTAGTGGGTGAAGGCACTTGTCACCAAGCCTGAGAACTTAAAGATCCTTGGAACCCACAATGTACAAGGGAAGAATCAAGTCTTATCAAGTAAATAAATGTATAAATGGTTTTGCTACCAACATGCTAAATCAATAACTGTTCCCAATAGGGCTTCAAGTACCCAGAGCATTCTGAAGGGTCTTTCTACAGTACTGTCTCAGCACTTAGAATGCCTTAAAATTACCTTACATGTCCTAATCATGGTTTTCCAGTAGAATGTATCACCCTGCATGTATTTCATTTCTGTATCACAGAACTTTAACTTAGAACAGGTCTCTATTTTTTAATTTATTTATTATGTATATAGTGTTCTGGGCACCAGATCTCATTATAGATTATGGTGTGAGCCATCATGTGGTTGATGGGAATTGAACTCAGGACTATCGGAACAGCAGTCAGTTCTTTTAACCTGAGCCATCTCTCCAGCCCTAGAATAGGTTTCAAGTAGATAACTTCCCTGTTCCTACATTATGCTTACTAATGAAGATACATTTATTCATTCTTTTCTTGAGAGGATAAAAGCTAACGATCTGTGTGTATGGGAAACAACAGTGATCTGTGACTAGCAAGCAGAGTCTGAGTACTCAGAGTAGGGGGTACATATAAAGGCTGATGTTTTAAAAATAAAATTACTCATAAAGAAAAGGCCAACTAAAAATACACAGTGTCCTGGCCATGCTGTAAGACTTCTAGTTTTTTGATGCTGAAGTGAAATTTTGCTGTCAGATCATGCAAATTGAGACTCAAAGAACAGGTTTACAAACAGAATTATCCCATCATTAGCTTGGGGTTTAGAAGAGAAAAAAAAAAAAAAAAAACAGGAAAATTTCTCAGGTCTTGGGCATTAAGTTCAATGGGTAAAATCAGAACTGAGGATACAGTTCAGATGGCAGAGTGATTGGGTAGCATGTAAAAAGCCCTGGATTTGATCCTCAGCACTGTATGATACACTGCATTATAGCCCAGCAGTGAATAACTCAGTACTGCATTACTCAGTACTATATAATCCAGCACTGTATAACCCAGCACTTGGAAGGTTGAGGGAGAAGGATCAGAAACTCAAGATCATTCTTAGCTACACAGGAAGTTTGAGGCTAGCTTGGTGTACATGTGACATGTACATTTTAAAAAAGAAGCGAAAGTTCATGTCTACAAGTGATGTAGAGAAAGATAGATATTGATTGACAGTCCTATCCAAATGTACAGCAACCCAGGAGAAAGACAGAAATACCAGGAACAGAGGCACTTGCCCTTATATCAACTAAGATAAAAGCTAAGTACAGAATCACCTTTTCTTCCCTTAAATTGTACAGAACATAGTTTAGAAAACAGACTCAGGGACAAAAACAGATATATCATGTGAACTTCCTTACAATCAAATTCTCTCACTGTGGAGAATAGGGTAGACATTTTCAGACAGTGTTGCACCTAAGCAAGGCCACTCATTAGTAGTATTTAATGCATAAAGGCAATAATTTAGCCAAAATGTCCAATATAGCAAAATTAATCAGTTCAGATAAGGAATCCTGGGATAGCATATAAAATAGGACACCACATGGCAAATATTACAAAACCAGTATCAATGGAGAAACTATTTATTTATTTTGTGTACAGTGTTCTGTCGGCATGTATCCCGGCAGGCCAGAGAGGGCACCAGATCTCATTACAGATAGTTATGAGCCAACATGTGGTTGCTGGGAACTGAACTCAGGACCTCTGGAAGAACATCCAGTGATCTTAACCTCTGAGCCATCTCTCCAGCCCTAAAGAAGAAGTTCTTATTACAGCAAATAAGTGACACAGAACCTTCCATTTTGCGACTATTTCTAATGGCTAAGTAAAACAATTTTGGAATTGCCCTATGAAACTCAACCTGTGACTTTAAAAAATTAAGAAAACAAACTGATGACATGAACATCTGTTTCCAAATCCAAGTGAGTCACACATAAATGAGTCTCTTTTGGGGGACAGACAGAGAAATTGTGGGAAATGTACCTTGGATGGGTCCATGATGACTGTGGGCACAAAGTTGAGGAAGATGTGGTTACAGTCAGTGCGGACATTTGTATTATTAAAAGCAACTTCCAATTCATCCATGGCTTCCAGGAGCAGCCGCTCCCCTTCATTTTGTAGATACTCAAAAGAAGCTTCCTATATAAGGAGAAAATTACCACCATTAATGTGCTTTAAAAGCAATAAAGAAGGGATGGGGAAATGGTTCAATGGGTAAAGTGTTTGCTAGGAAAACACAGACTTAAGTTTAGATTTCCAGTGCTCAAGAAAAAGCTGGAGCAGTGCCCTATATCGGAAACCCTAGCACCAAGGGAAGGTAGGGAATGGAGACAGGAATCAGAAGGTTCACTGACCAGCCAGTCTAGCTGAAACTATAAGTTCCAGGTTCAATGAGAAATACTGTTCTCAAACAAAAAACAAAGTAGAGAATGATAGAGGTGCATATGTGCTTAAACAGACAAACAGTAATAAAAATTAAATAGTAACAGAGGAAGATACCTTCATGTCAACTTCTGGCCACATGTGCTTGAATGGGGAGGTGTACATGCATCCCACCTCTACCCTCAAAGCAATAATTTAAGAAGCAATATGAGAACACAGTAAGGTATCTATCTGCTTATACATTGTTCAACTTTCTCTTGGTTGTAAATCTATTGACTGTAGGAGGCAAAGGCTGGCGAGGGTTAAATAGAGTCTCTGCCAGCCCTTTCTCCAGCCTCTAACAATATAATTTCCACTAAGAAGTAGAGATGCTAGGCATTGCCAGAGCTAAAACCCCAATATGATTATGTTTCACATATGCCAAACAGAACATTTTAGAAAAAAAGACCTGTTTAGCATAAAATGATAATGGAAGTTTATGGCAATGGCAATGGGATGCAATAGTTAGCATATAGCATATGAGGAAGCCCACACATGAAGACAGGTTTATGTAACGGTTACTGTAACTTTCTCCTTATTCATTACCATTACCCAAGTCTTTGTGGTTTTTGTCTGTTAAGCATTGTTTTCTTTCTTCAAGTAAGTGCTCTCATGCTTCTATTATCAAGAAAAATCAAATTAAAGAAAAATGAGCCTTTATTATTTGGAAGATTGGAGAATGACAAAGACAAAAGCTTTGATTCAAATAGTAAAACTCTGATTTTGAGCCATGACTAATTCTCTGTCCTTTCCCTAATGGATAACTTCCCATTAAAGTAAAGGACTCACCTTTGTGACCAGATCAGAATGCCTGATGATTGCACGGACAAAGAACCTGTAGTCAGTTACTTCTGTGCCCACTTCCACCTTAGCTGCCCCAAGATACAAGTGCATCTTGTGATTAGCACATGGAATGGCAGTGAGGTCAAAATTTCTCATCCGGTTCAGCTCCAATTGGAAAGCCAGAGCAGGTTCAAGATGACGATAAATGCGGTCCTCCTCAAACTGAGCACAAGAATCAGAGGGAAAAACAGATCACATGAGGCAGTTGCAAAATTACTTTATGATTGTGTTGATAAAACAGATTCTTAAAGATTGAACCCAGTAACTGACATCTGTGAGGCTGAGGCAGGAGGATCATCCAAATTTTGAGGCTATCATGGGGATTGAGGATGTGGATCAGAGGTAGAGTATTTGCCTAACGTGTAAACATGTGTATTCAATCCCTAGCACCACAATAAATAACTAAAATAAAATACAAAATAAATCAAGGCTATAGGTTTACATAGTGAGTTAGAGGATCGCTTAGGTTACAGGGTAAAACTCTATAATAAGGAGTGGAAGGGGTCTCAAAAATAGAAACATAAGTTGTAATATACTAATAAGACACATACAAAACTACTGAATAGCCTACATAATAACAGGTGCTCTAGCACCAAACAAAAAATCAAAGACATAGGCAGGTGGATCTCTTTTAGTTTTAGGTCAGGTCTAAATAGAGTTCCAGGCCAGCCAGGGCTACACTGTAAGATTCTGTCATTCCAAAAAATACTAAGTAAAAACAACATGAACAAAAATCTTCAATTCCCTCAGAACTTCTGAAGCATTTAATACTGTTAAAAATTAAAAAAAAAAAAAAACAACCGACTATGCAGATTGCTTCACATTAATTAGTATCTACTTCACAAGATAGTGTTATGGGCTCACCCAAGTAGAATGATGCTTAATGGTGAGACTCATATCTTATCATGTAGTAAGAAATAAACATCATATATTAAGATGGTATTTGGCTTTGGGGAAAATCCCAATAGTTACACCATCACTTATATGTAAAAAGTTTATAAATACATTTCCTACATTGCTGAATATAAATTATTCTGCTAGAAAGCATGTCAATTAAGTCAATGGAAAAGACACCTAAAATATAAGCTAGTAAGAGAGAGAAATCAACTCTGTATGAAATTTTATACTTTAAAACTAAAAAAAAAAAACATACGGATGAAAAGAAGAGCTCAATATAAATCAACTATCTTGTAGGTTACAAGAATGATTCTACTAAACTGGGTGGTGTTGGTGCACACCATTAATCTCAGCACTCAGGAGAGAGGCAGGCCAATCACTGTGAATTCGAGGCCAGCCTGGTCTACAGTTAGTTCCAGAACAGGCTCCAAAGCTACCGAGAAACCCTGTCTCAAAAACCCAAAAACAATAATCCTACTAAAAAGGAACAAAAAAATAGAATAACTTTACGAAATAAAGCATTCCTAAATAATACATCAAAATTGTTCTAAAGGAAAGGGATGTTTTTGAAGTTACAGCCTTCTTTGGGTCAAGACATTTGATTATTTCTTAAACTCTTTCTTAAGGAAGTATGCTTTAGAAAAAAAAGAATGCAGCAATGGCCTATTCATAGTACAAAAAGGGGAGGGAAAGAGAAAAGGATGGAATGGAGGACAGACAGAGGAAGGAGGAGGAGGCAGGGAGGAGAAAGGGAAATAAAGAGAGGCAATGAAGTAAATCATCCCTTACCTTATCCCTTGCTCGGAATGTGAAAAATTTGGGAAATTCTCTCTGAGATAAAGAAGAACGCAAAATGTGTTAGTTCTTCAGGGAATGGCTCTTTGGGGATATAACACACTGTATGGCCTCTGTCAAATATCTAGAAGACAGTTCCTAAAAAACATGCTCTTTATCTGAGCTTACTCCAGGTACCCTCTGGATAATCATCACTTTGACCCCACTTGGGAATTACTAAACTATTAACCTACCTTTAGTATCTATCATCTCTGAAGAAAGAGTTCATTTTATCTCTCAAGTAGAAAAAAAGAATCTCCCTGTGTGTTACTCTTGGCACAACCTGGCAAATAAAAACAATATGCCCTATACTAGAACCACTGCAATGAGTCTTACTAGACTGATTTCCCAAGCTTCTCTTTAAGAAAACTCTTCAATTGTAAACTAGTCAAGTAAATTTTAAGTCTATGGTGTTTTGTCCCCACCCCTACTCCAACATTCAATCTGAAACTGATGATTTCAAGGATTTAATAATAACATTTCAAGACAAAAGAAGCAGTGGATGCTACTTTGGTCACTAGTGCTCTGCCTAAGAAAGAGGGGAGTGGGACCAGTGAACTTGAAATCATTAGGCCTTTCTGCACAGCATTACACAAGAAAGCAACCAATTTACTAGAACCCTATTAATTAACAAAGATGAATTCAATTAGCAGAGTTCATTAGTTTCTGAAATTTAACTTATTAACACCAAATACTCCTGTTTCTCGGATGGGAAGCTCTCCTGGCAGTGCTGCAATGAGTCATTACTATTTCCTCTCTAGGAGGTTCCATTAGATACCTTCTTCATTATGAGTGCAATATAATCAAGGGAAAGTTGGCATAAAGCAGAGAGATCAGGACCAGCTAGCTACACATTCTTCAGGAGCCTTGAAGAAAAAATGGACTTAAAATCTACTAGGTAGAGGGCACTCTCCTGTGTCTTTTAAGGGAATGATCACAGTCCCTGCTTTACAGATGAGCAAGGCTTAGCTCAAGGGGAAAATCAAACAAAGTCTCTCATGACAGAAACCGTGCCTTTGGCCTCCCAAGCATAGGGCATTATCTTTTTATTCTTGTTATAATCAAAATTGCTCATGTAAATATGTTTTTCATTGGTGAGACCAAAAACAAACAAACAAACAAACAACACAGAAATTAAGACAGATTAGTAATGGCACACACCTTTAATGCCAGAGCCACACTAGTCAGCCATATAGGCCAGACAGTGGTGGCACACACCTTTAATTCCAGCAGCCACACCAGTTAGCCATAAAGGCTGGGCAATGGTGGTGCACACTTTGATCCCAGCACTAGAGAGAAATATAAAACAGGAGGAGACAGGTCTCAGTCTCAATCTGAGGATTCACGGAGGCAGGATTGCCAATTTTCGGTTTGACGTAGAGGTAAGAGCCAGTAGGTGGCTTCTTTGCTTTTTTGATCTTCAGGTTGAACCCCAATATCTTTCTCTGGGTTTTTATTAATTGTGCTACATTTGGCACCAAACGTTTGGAGTACAAATTCACAAAAAAAAAGCCATCTGCCTATCGCTTCACAGACACCGGCATAGACCAGAGCTACAAGTGGCCAGGTTCACTGCTCTACTGGTTAGATCTTTCTCTTCTCTTCTCTTCTCTTCTCTTCTCTTCTCCTCTCCTCTCCTCTCCTCTCCTCTCCTCTCCTCTCCTCTCCTCTCCTCTCCTCTCCTCTCCTCTCCTCTCTTCTCTTCTCTTCTCTTCTCCTCTCCTCTCCTCTCCTCTCCTCTCCTCTCCTCTCTCTCTCTCTCTCTCTCTCTCTCTCTCTCTCTCTCTCTCTCTCTTTCTTCTGGTGGGCTCTTCCTGAACCCTCTTCTCAGGCTGCTGTCAAATTAGGTAGCTGCCTTGAAATCCAATCAGACATTTATTGTTCTATGCAGCAGCAATAAGCCTTACATCTTCATCAACATTGGCAGCAGATTTGGTAAGACAATTGGGAATTCTTAAAGGGAGGAATTAGTTAAAAGAAGTTTTTTTTTTCCCACATTAAAATCTGGGAAAAACCATTACAATGGAGGGATTTATGTCTCTGTATGATAATATGCTGGACAGTTTGAAAACAGAAAGGTTAAATGAGAGGATAACTAATTTAGATGGGATTTATGTAGTATCAATTGTAAACATTATCAGCATTAAAATAATTGTTTTATCACTAAAAAAGTTGGCTAATCTGAATAAGATATAGGCCTTAGAAAAATCTAATAAAACAGATCACAAAGATATTCAAATCTAGACTGAGGAATTTAATGAGAACTAATTTCAGCATAGCATTATAAGAATAGAGAGGAACAGCCTAAGGTTTTCAACCAACTTTAATTTTAATATATCCAGTAACCATACAAGAATTATTAAATGGCAGAGGCTCTGTTAAAGGCTAAGTGGACTCCTGTGCCAATGTTAGATTTAAGGAGATTCGAGAAAGCAACAGTCTCATATGGCATGCAATCACCTTTTGTGAAGCATATGTTAGAACCATGGTCAATTTGTAATAGAATTATCCCTAAAGACTGTGTAGAATTGGTTAATGAATGGTGTTTTAGAGTCTGGTCCACAACTACAATGGAGTACCTGGTTCAGAGAAGAGGATAAGATTATTGAACAGCAAAGTAAAACTAAAGGTATGGAATTCTCTTAAGATCAAATTCTTAGAAAAGGAGATTATGCTGCTATAGAAAGGAGGCAGAATATGATGATCCCACCCTGGATTTATGCTGAGCAACAGCTCTGAATGCTTGGGACAGAATTAGAGAAATAGAAAAGAAAACTGAGTCATTTGCTAAAGTTATACAGGGCCCAAGGGAAGCCTTTACAGATTTCTTACAAAGACTGACTTCAGTAGTAAATAGAATGATACCAAATTCAGAAGCTAGACAAGTAATAATTGAATCCCTGGCTTTTGAAAATGTCAATTCTCTATGCAGAAGGATAATGAGGCTGTCAAAGGCAAGTTCAGCACCTATGGAGGACTGGATTCAAGATATAATTAATACTGAATCTCATGACCGTGATGATTCATGGATAGGAGAGGTAATTTCCAGAGGTTTGAGGAAAAATCAAAATGTCCAATGTTATAATTGTGGCAAACAAGGTCACCTTAAAAGGGATTGTACACAGGGCGTTCCTAGAAACAATGTTTTTTCTAATAGTCTAGTCAGAACACGCCTCTCTTCTGGATTATGTGGAAGGTGTGGCAAAAGGCAGGCATTGGTCAAATGAATGCAGGTTAATGAGGGATATTCATGTTAATCCTTTGCCATAGAGAAACTATGTGATGGGCCTCTGGCAGGCCTCTATGCCAAATATGGTTCAGTTGTTTCCTACCATCATAGAGGAAACTCCATCTCAGAGCAATGAAAGAACCTAATGACTACTGTAAGAAAGCATACTACTCTGAATAATAGAACACCTATAGAAGAGAGAACAAAAAGTTCAGGGAAACCATAAGAGTATTTTGGTAAACTATAAATGAACAAAGACCAAAATTAAAAATACAAATAAGCGATGTTGTCATTGAAGGTCTGGTAGACACAGGTGCAGGTGTAAAAATAATTTCATCAGAATCTGGGCATACAAATTGGCCTCTTCAGTTGTAAATTCAATTGTAAATGTTCAGTTTTTAGGGACTGGAATTTTATCTCAGGTAAAATAGAATGTGAGACAGTTCGAATGTACAGGGCCAGAAAGACAGAGAGGAATATTAAAAGCATATGTGGTTAACATAGCAATGAGTTTGTGGGGACATGATTTGTTTTAGCAATGGAATACTCAGATTAATATTTTTGCAATCTTAGAAACAAACCATAAGTTAAACATATGTTTATGGGAAAAATATTAGAAGGCTTTATAAAGAACAGTCACCAACCATTCAGAATGCACAAAAACAGGACACAACAGCTGCTGATATTTTAGAGGCACCAACAGCCCTACCTTTAAAATGGTTGACAGACAAACCTGTATTTAGAACAGCAGTTTCTCTGTTCTTAAAGGCCATTGCTTAAACCTTAGATGGTGACAAGGACTTAAATAGGCCCAGGAAACTATCAGCTGAAGCTGGGAGAGAATTGGCTTTGATTGAAGAGAAATTACAGAAGGCTCATGTTGGTCAAGTGGAAACAAATCTTAATGGCATTCTGGTCATATTACCCTCCCAACATTCCCCTACAGAAATTTTAATGCAGAGGGAACATATTACCTTAGAACAGGTCTTTTTATCACATGAACTTAGTAAAACACTAAAATCTTAAGTGGAAAAGGTCTCTGAGTTAATTCTAGAAGGAAAATTTGGACTTCATCAATTAGCAGGACTAGACCCAGCAGTAATAGTAATACCTTTTAATAATGGTAAAATTGTCAAACTATGGGAAGAAAGTAAACCCTGGCAAAGAGCATGCAGTAATATTTTGGGAGAGATTAGCCACAACTATCCCAAAAGCAAGAGAATTCAACTTATAAAGAGAACTAGCTGGGTCCTTCCTTGAATTTTACAGGACACACCAATAACTAGAACCCCTACAATCTATACTGATGGAAATTAAGTCAGGAAAGGAAGGTTATAAATCAGAAAATTTAAGTAAAGTGGAGCAAAGCTATTATGATTCTGTTCAAGAGTCAGAACTGTATGCTATTCTCATGGTACTAAGGGATTTTAGAGAACCTCTCAATATAAGGTACTGATTCTCAATATGCAGAAAGAGTGGCTTTGCATATTGAAACCACTGAATTTATACCAGATGTCACAGAATAGACATTATTATTATTTACTCAAATACAAGATACAATCAGGAATAGTAATCATCCCATAAACATAACACACATAGATCCCATATGGGTCTGCCAGGTCCTCTAACACAAGGTAATGCAGAAATCAATCAATTATTGGTTGGAAATGTGTTGAAGGTCTCAGAATTTCACAAAAAACATCATGCCAATAGCAAAGGTTTATAAAAAGACTTTTCCATCACATGACAACAAGCCAAGAAAATTATA